CGGACGCTGGCGCTGCTGGGTCCAGAGGGGCCCCCAGGCCCTTCCGCCGCTCTGACCCCATCGCTGCATCTTGTGACACCGAGCGCGTGACCAGCGCCGCCTTGGGCCAACAGAGCCCTTCCCACCCGGCTGCGCACCGGGCCAGCGCGTCCCGGCCCGGCCCGATCCGGCCCGCTCGCTCGCAGTGCCAGGCACGGCCCTTTCTCTGTTTGCTTCTTGCTCCTTGGCTTAATAATTCCCACCGCTGACCTTGGCACGTGCGGTTTGAGGGGGCTGCCAGGAAGGCCCTCGTTGCTGTCGCCTTTAAACTTGATGAGCCTGAAGGGTGCAGCATCTTCAGCAGCCTTTTCCAGCCGGCCTCTTCCGAGACCCCGCGGGAAGCTCTGCAGACCTCGCTCCAGTACTGGGCCAATTTCTGCAGTTTTTCTCTCTCCCTGATCTTCCCAACGAGATTAGTCCCTTCTTCCTAACCCCAGGACAGTGTGGAGAGCCCCGACCCTGGAAAAGGGCTCCGGAATGGGAACTTCCCTGGTGAATACGGGTGCACGTACCTGCTACCTCCTCCTAACCCCGGGTCTCTGCTAAGCTGCGTCTGCAGGACGAGGACCCCCTTTCCTGCAGGTTTCGGCATCCCGCTCCTTCTGCCTTTAGCAGGTCACGTAGGAATACGATTTTTCACTTGTCTTATGGAGGTTTCACGTTGAATTTGCTCCCTGCGTTTGCATTGCCTTGGATTTCTAGTATCAACACGTGCAAAACCCGCAAGTGTAACGCGGCGGTGCCGAGGGCGCTGCTGCAGGCAGGAACACGAGGCCGCTTTTCGCAAAACGAAGCGTTTTGAGGCAAAAACCAGCAACGAGACAGGTGTAATTCAGCTTTCTTTGTTTAAAAAAACAAAAACAAATAAACCCCCAAACATAAAACAACCCAAACATTGAACAGATTTGTTAACCACAGACATAAAAGTATCAAGAAATACCAGAAAAAAAAATACATTGCAGTAGACATCTTGTTTTACAAGGCAATTTGATTAAGTTACTACGGGCTGACCGGCACTAGGTCCGCTGTGGAATAGCTGTGTCGACAGGAACACAAACACGGGAAACAGACAGCGCGGACTGGAGAAGTATTAAGACTAAAAGATATTTACCCCTTAAAATAAATAGAATGTCATCTACAGCAACATTTAAATTAGTAAAATACTTTTAAAGCAACCAAATATAACAAAATTGTAAATCAGATCTAGATTTTCCTCTGTATGTTAAGATATTTTTCTCTGGTGTTAAAAAAACAAACAAAAAAAAACCCCAAAGCCCCAAACCAACAGAAGTTGTAAGTTTAGAAGAAAGATACCTCTGAAAAGGAGATTTTTCACTGCATGTGACTGCACCGGGGTTTGTTCCGCAGGGCCAGCACGAGGTCGGCACCAGGCAGGGAGGTTTTGGGGGGACGCGGCCGTCACCGTGGCCTCTGAGCAGGGACCGTCCCGGCGCGCGACGCTGATCTCGGCGCAGGACACCCGGGCGAGCCCGTGTCCCCTGTGCCGAGATGAACGACAGCAACAATTCAGGTGTGGATATGAAGTCTCTCCTAAGCCATTTAAAAATTAATTCAATATTTAAAAATATATACTTTTTTCTCCTTAGCACTTCAACAGCGGGAGGCAGCAACGCCCTTTCTCACGTGAGGAACCCCGTGAGAAGCCACCGACATCTCTGCATCCCGCGGGACCGGGGCTCCGGCGGGAACAGCGTTCCCCTCGTGTCCCGCATCCCGGCACCCGGAGCCGGGTTTGGGCTCCTGCTCGGCCGGGAACGACCACGGAGCCGATTCTGAGGGTTTCAACCCGGGGGGAGGACCTGGAAAGTTTGTTCAGCAGCGCAGAGTCCCTTTGAGTTTAACATCCACGGAGGGTGCCATGGAAAACAAGCGCGTTTACCAGGACACGGGATCTGGGCCTGAAAACACAGCAAATGCTGCAGGGAGTCAGAAACATAAAACCCCAGCCAGGAGGACTGGAAAGAAGAGACATTCTCCGTATTTTACCTGCCCTCCAGAGCAGGTGCTTATGGCAGGGTGATTACGGGCTCCAAAGCGGAGCCCTGCAACCAAAAAGCAACATTAAAAACGCCACGTCCCCTCCTGGGGACCACGAGGAATTCCCTGTTTAGGCTCTGCTGCTGCCTCTCCCACAGTGACGCATCTCATACCACTTTTGGGGAGAAAAAGCAGCAAAGAGGTGTTGAATTGGGATGAGCTCTCTTTCCATTCCAAAACGGAGCTTCCCCTGGTGAGCCCTGCTGCCTGGTGCCCTTCTGGCCTCGCTCCAACGCTGTTAGCAGCATCACTAGCACCAATTCCAGCCATTGCAGAAACCGCCTGAGTGGTGGAGTTGTGTTTTCTTTTTGAAATGAAATTCCACCAGTTTTACCCCTTTCCTCACAATCTCTCTAAAATCCAGGAAAAAAAAAAAGGTGGAGGAAGAGGGGGAAAACTAGGGGGTCCATGTATGGGATAAAAGAAATCGGGTTTCTGAAAGGTGAACTTTGTCCTAGGGTGAACTGAGATTTGAGACACGGCTTCAACCCAGTTCCACATTTACGTGGTTCTGTGCTGGTTATGGGTTCAGTTTTTCCTATAAGGCTGTTGCCACGGAAATGACGGTGACATCACCATGAAACACTGACGTAAATGCCAGAGCCAGCAGGTTAATACAAAAATATCTTTAGCAGCAAGTGGGAAATAATGAAGGAAAGTTCTTAATAAGCAAGCAAGCAGGTTAAGGATTTAATTAAGATCAATATATAAAAAAATAATTCTCAGTGTGATGTCTCCTCCTTGAAAGCCCTGTGAAAGGGTCATCAAGAGGGTATCATTTGGTGATGTTCTTCATCAGTGATGAGACTCAAAGATGCGTCCCCACCAAGCGCCCCGACGCCTGGGGGAGACTTGAACCCATTTCTGAGCTCTCCCCGGGCTGGACCGAGCATGAGATTGAGGAGGCTGAAAGAGGAAATCCCTTCCCTTTGCCTCCCGGCTAATTCTATCAGCACTGGGAGCCCCCGAGCTCCCCCCTGCCGACAAGCCAGGCCTGGGATTATCACAGCCAGGGAACTACAGCGGAGAGGAGGGCGACAGACTGAGGTTGTCTGTCCAAGGAACGAGAGCAGCGGAGGCAGCAAGTGCCCGTCGTCCCTGCCGAAACAACCCGGCCGCCAGCTGAAGAGGATTCCCCCTACGAAGGGAAAATCTAGCTCAGGTTTTGCTGTTTTTGACCTTACCTATGTGAATGCCTCTCCACAGGCACTGCATGTGAGATGCTGCAAGTTACTGCACGCAGGTCCCTGAGCAGCCACACGCTGGCCACAGCTTTGGGTGCTTGTGCACTGCAGAGATACCCGAAATTGCAGGTCTCTGCAGGTCCCCTCAGCTCTGTGCGACCCACAGCAAAGCTCTCAGCTAACGACGGTGTCACCCCTTCCTCCTGCACTGCCTCAAAGCAAAGACGTGTGGCTGCTGTAGCATCAAGGAGCTGCTCATAGTAAGTTGTTCATGCGACCATGGTCGTTGTCACACGAAGCTGCCACCCGCTATTAACTCAAAGGCATTTTGTTAAAATGCCTCCCCAAAGGACAAAGTACGAGCTAGTATCCTTGTTAATGCCTCTTCTTCCAAAAAGGCTCTGTGCTAAGAGGAGAATCCAGTACAAAGCATTAACGCATGGAGGATCCTGGCTTCCAAACCACATAGTTTACAAAAATACTTAAGAGAAAAGGAAAAAGTTCAGCAACCCATTTTCTAAAGCACAAGCACACGGATTTGTAACAGACTAGTGCACCTCCCTTAAAGGGAAAAGATGCTTTTGATTTCCAATTAATGACCATGATTCCAATTTGATTTCCAACTAACGACACAGCTCACGTGCAGAGCCGTGGAGTGTTAAGGAACTGCCCTTTGGCCTAAAAAGGGGATACTTTAGCCCAAATAAAGCAGCACATTCCTAAGAGGATGGCTCTGACCGCCTGGGAATAAGAGGGGTGAAGCTGCTTCTTGCGAGCACAGGGATGGGGCTGGGCCCAGGGGACAGCACCGCGACCGCTCCGGAGGGCAGCACGAACCAGGACACGCGTTATCCGAGCAGGACCTGGGGCTGCAGCTCCGCACGGACGAGGACAGACCGGGGCGCCCCGAGGAGGGCTCCGGCCACCCCCAGGGCCGGCTGCTCCCCTGGCCCCTGCGAGAGGGAACGCGGCGGAACGAGGTGGCAGGGGGCACGGGATGAGCAAGGACGACCCGGCCACCCTTCGTGATTGATGTAGGGACAATCCTCAATCACACAGGGGGCATCTGGAGAGCACCGCGGGGCCCATCCCACGCCAGCTGGCAGCCAGTCTGCAGGAAAGCTTGGAATGGGCAATCCAGGCTGCTGGCCCTCCGCTGCTTCCAGTTCCCCAGGTTTATTGGGGAGTTCCTGTGCCTGCTCCCGGGGCTCCTTGCCAGGGAGGTAAAGAGGGACCCAGGAGAAGCGGCTCCGATGCAGCTCAGTGACAGGGAGGTGCTTGGACCCAGGGGCTAAATGCCAGGCAGCGACGGGGGACCCCGCGTGCTCCTTTTGGGGACAGACTGGAAGTCAGAGGTGGCCCCGTCCTGCCCTGCAGCACCAGTTCTGTGCTGGGCCCGGGGGGCAGAGGGGTCCGTGCGGGACCCTGCTGCACCCCTGCCACGGCTGGTGACACCAACACCGTGCCCACCAGCCCCCTCGGGCTAGCTGGG